AATGTCCTTAATGTGTCATTGACATGTTTGTCATATGTAGGTGGTTATGCTTCTACTAGTTCACCGTTGTATGCACTGAAAAAGATTCCGTCAACAGAAGTAGATGAGTCATTGTTAGATAAAGGTTCTGATATTTGCTCGTCAAGGTGTTTTGAAGTTCCAGAGATATGTAATGGCAACAAAGGTATTGAAGTCTCCTGCCTGATAGTTGCAAGAATGATCTATCCGCTTACCTTCCTGTTATTTAACAGATGGGTGATAGACTGATGTTGGTATCAATTTACTTAGGATGTGCAAATGTATCCATTTCAGGTAATGGCTCACAAGTAACAGATATGGTACAAAGAAAGCCTGGTCGTGGTGAAACAACACTCTCTGTTAGCTGTTCCGATAAGATAGCTCGATGGAATTTTCTTGGAGTTCAAGGTTTCTTCTGTAGTCTGTCAATGTTTTTGCTTTGCAAGCTTTTTGAAAATTCGAATTCCATAATGCATATATGTCATAAAATATGTGGTCAATGGTTTTGTTCTTGTGGGTTTATACCTCAAGTTTGACAGAGAATTTGCTGTGTCATGTGAGATTTGCTTATGGGAATCTTCTCTCTTTTTGTGTGTTCTTACTTCAGGGGCATTGCTTTGCCAAGTTCTTCAGCCTCTGTATATTTCTACAATCACCGTTGGACAATCTCTGCACTGCCCTGACAATTTTTCTTTGGCTGATCACTTGCGAAGATCTTTGTATGAGAGGATCCTTCCATTATCGGATGACATACTGACTTCTTTCCGTTTGAACAAGGTTTATTAGATGCATTATACCAAGGTATCATGTAAATTGATGTAGTTACTTGCAGACATTGTTCTAATCCCTTTCCAGCCACTGTTTTTTGTAGCTCCAGTACCACCATCAGAATTTCAGCATTTAGAAACTGCTCAAGCTACCTTAACATGCGGGTTGGTTTTCAATGCTCTTAACTCTTCATCACGACATATTTGCCTTTCTTTGTCTCTTACAAGGTGACAATTTATTTGTTGTCTCTTAGATATTCTTTGTGTTGGAACCGATCTGGCTTACACGAAGTTATTCTTGGAACAACCGGTAGAAAGCAAGGCACCTCAGCTAAAGGAGCTCTGTATCCGTCTACTCAATCATCTATATGCAAGTAAGGGGAGGAGTCTTGTTTTCCAGGCATGACCTTGATTATTTTCTAGTTATGATTAGCATGTGATATCATATTCATATCTTTTCCTAGACAGCGGTTACTGGAGCTGTTCTTGAAAGAAACACATGGACATGCCAGTGAATCTTCCAAGTCAAAAGGATCTTACCGAGAACTGAAGGTGCGTGTGATGCTGATTCTTTTCTGCTGCTTCATTCTGGGTTAACATGCTTCATTCACAAAGTGTATAAATCTCATAATGAGTGTTTGACATGCTTTCCGCAACACTGTGATATTGTTCTCTGATATATTCTGAGATGATTTACGTTTTTTTTTTTTTGGTTTTTTAATTCTATGCAGGACAAAGCTACCAAATATTCTTTGATGTCAAAGATTTTTAAAGGAAAGTATCCATTCAAGAATTGGCTAACAAAACCCTTGCATTACGAGGATTTCCTGATAAATTAGCCGAGTGGTATGTCTTCCTATTTGCTCTCTCTATCAACCAATTTTTTTTGCACCATTAGTTCATGATCGTCAACAAGTTACTTTATTTTGACTGCATTGTTTAGGGAAGCAAAATAATTATACGAATAGTACATTCCAAAAATAAAATAAAGAGGTGAGGGACCTTGAATCACAGAAAATACAAAGCGCGGAAAAGTAAAACCGAAAAAACGCAGGAAAACAAAAGCAGAAAATATGAATTTGACTGAAACGAATTAAGATGCGGCAAGTTCCATTCAGAGATTGACTCGTCCTTTGATGATGTCGAGACTCATTTCGCTAGGATCTGTTGCTTGTAATTCAACTTGAATCCCATCCATTTCCCTCTTGAATCTGTCCTTAGAGCTTGCATACAACATCTTACTCCTCACTCTTGATGTATCAGGTGACCTGAAGAAGCAAGTCAATGTCTCAATCATATGAAAAACTACATTTCTAAATCATGGAAAAGAAGAAAATCAAGGGCAAAGAGGAAGTTGTACCATGCGATGAAAAAGATCTTGCTCTTCTGGCAGTTCTCAGGAGTGGTGAAATCGAAGTCATAGACAGCATATCGGCACTCGTTCTCAGGCATACGTTGGGTGAAATCTTCGTAAGTTTCTTCTGGATTCCCAACCACATCTATCATAACTTGCTGAGCCTTCTCATCAATTTTGAACACAATATACCTATAATTCCTCTTTGCTTTCAATTCCAAGAACTTGAGCTTGCACTCATCGCTTACATGCATCCCAGATGCTGAATTAGCCTGCACACACACACATAATCAACTTATATGATCACAAAACATTTGCAATACCGGAGTTTGATAAAATGAATGGCAGAAACATACCATGTTCTCTGCTTGAAATTCGGGGTTGATGATCAGAAAGGAGAGAGGGTAGGGGGTTTTAGAGGATGAGAGGAAGAAGGAAGAAGTAGGTTGGGTTGGGTCATTAGGCTTGGTCACGTCTTTAAACGAAGAGGACTTCGATGCTGTCACGTTGTGCCCATATTTACATGATTAGATAAATGGAGTCTATATTTTATTCAGGCATACACATGTATCTATCTATGTGTATGTAAAGCACATGTGGTGAAGTTTGTTCTGGACATCATTGGGAAGTTGAGGTTTCATGATGTACATGTTTTTCCTTGTTTTTAATTAAATTTCTGACTTTTTCTTTCATCACGATTGGTCGTAGACTTTGCTATATGTTTTTTTTTGTTTTTTGTACGAATTTAGTTAGAATTTAGAGGAAAAGCGAGATATACAGAAGACTCAAGTTCGTCATTTTGGATATGACGATGATATTGAAGATACATCAAATATCAATATGACGATGTTGGAGCAAATGATCTGACCCAAAATAAAACATTGAATCGATTGATAAACCAAAAAATCATAGGATTTTCCTAATTGAGAAACGCAACGACCAACGTTTTCCAGTAAATTTTGGTTCCCTTTGAAACTGACCCTAAGAAAAGCCCATGGGCCTATAACTGAAATATGGTTACGGCACAAAGCTAGACCGACTACTCCAAGAGCACGAGCCAATCTCTCTTTCGGTGTTGTGTAAAATTGTGGCTGCTATTTCTCTAATGTTTATCGATTTGACTCAAAAACGAGTCCTACAAACAGTAACATATGGTTCGTGCGTGTACAGAAAATTCAAACTTATGACTAAATTAATATCCTCTGGGTATCGAAACTTGCCGTTTGTTTTGGTCTGATTCAGATACGGTCTCGCTTTCGTTATTTCTTTTCTTGGGAGCATTTTTATATCCTTTTAATGAAATTGAGAAGTAGAAGTTGGTGGTGGTGGATTTGAATCGTAGCTACTAGCTAGTGCGAGAAACTTGGGCTCCCATGGATTCCAAGTGTATCTTCGATCGAGATTAAAAGG